AAATGAAGATTTTGATCTGTTATCATTATTTTATTTAAAGATCAGAGCCAAACAAGCATTGGAACGTGGAAAATCACACCGTTGGTAGAAACAAAATTCTTTTTCTTCATTTCTTTCTCATTTTTCTCTTTGAATCAATCACAATATTGAAAAAAAAAAACCGGCGATCAGTCGTCTTCTCTGTAAACATATCTGAGTTCATCAGGTATCGTGTAAACAGGGTTGTAATCACCGATGGGTTTGGAGAATTCATAAAATCTTGTCATAGACATCCTCCTGTGGCCAGTGATGTCCTTTGCTGGAGGCGCTGAAGGAATCTCTGCATGGAAAGAAAGGCAAAAGAAAAAACTTGAGCAATTCTACTTCACAGCTAGGGGTTACTCAAAAATAAATTCTGTAATTTTGCTTGTTAAATTCTTATTTTAGAGGATGTAGATTGATGAAAAACTGAGTGAGATTCATTTCCAGCAAATTACTGTATTTACTCAAGTACCAGGCTCACCTTTTTTTCAAATTCCAGAAGAAAAAAAGGGGTGCGCATCATAAGTGGGTACAAAAATTTCAAGAAGTTTTAGCAAGTTGTATGTTAATTATACTTAATTATAATTGAGAAATTTGTGACAAATACACTAAGAAAACTTTTTTTTACTGAAAAATTTGAAAATTGATCAGATTCATGTTCAATTCACATCTAAAATCAAATTTTTTGCTTTTATTTTCGAAATTTTGTGGTTTTAGAGTCACTAAAATGGGGTGCGCGTCTTACTTGGGGATACAATTTTAGCCAAATTTTTAACTGAAAAACCCCTGTGCATGCCTTACTTGAGGGCGGGTGGTACTTGAGTAAATATGGTACTGTGAATTTGTAAAACAAAAGAAGCATTCCAATGAAAACAAATGAAGATGAGATGTACTCATGAAAGACCTAAGTTAGTTAAGTACCACCTGTTTCTTATTTTTCTTCAAAAGTTTCCAAGATTAAAATTAGCAGATAGCGCAGAAAACTGAATCAGCAAAAACCTTGCATTCAATGCAAGTGTATGTAGTCCAACTAAGTTCAAAGGGAATTCAGTCAATCCATAAGCAAAAATAAAAAAGGACTAAAAAGTAATTCACCATTTTTTAAGAAAGGTCTGTAATTTCTGATGAGTATTTTTTAAAGATAAAAAACCTGAATTTCTCTATTAATGGCTGGATTAACTTTTGGCCTAATTTATCATAAGTTGCATACTGTGAAAAATGTACCTGACAATTTTTTCAAGGGTATCCATCAACAATTGAATTACAGTAATGCACTGTGTGTGGATGTTTGTCTCACATCTTTCAAATTACTGTACCATATTAACTTCAGTACAAGTACCACACACCCTAAGGTAAGATCAAACCTGAAGTTTTCACCAGAAAATTTTTAAAAATATATCCTGCTTGAAGAATCGTTACAGTATATATACTGTACAGTATAGCAAAAGGCAATAAAAATGAATTTTTGGAACCTTGATTCATGCTGCCATTGGAGCCTCTGTTAGACATGGACTGTTTGGACCCATCATGTTCCATGTAAGTACACCCAGTGGAGCCAGAGTCTCTTTGCTGTGAATTATCTTTGGGGTCAAATTTTTCCTGTGGTTTCCTGTGTTGTTGTTCCTTTCTGAACATGGCCTGTTCTAGGACTTGCCAAGCACTCCAAGAAACACTCTGAAACACAATTTTGAATTTTTTAAGGGTAATCTCAAACCTTATCTTTTTTTAAAAAGTTGCTTATATGTACCTTGGATTTTGACAGTTCTTGTTTGGTTCTTTTTCTATCAAGGTGCCTCCTGAGGGCTGTTGACACCTTGTCATTGAGAAAAACATGAAACAGGAAGATCCAGATTCCCTGTACAACCAAAATCACATGACAAATATTGGGAAAAAGGTAGTTCAATCCTCACTATGCACAGGGTGGGCAAAAAAAAAGAATCAATTTTAAACTTGAAATAGCTTGGTAGCAAATCAAGCTACAGCAGCAATGGGAACAGCATCAAATGAAAGCTTGTTCCATTCCCTTTCAAATGTTTGATTTTATGGTCCCAACAATTTTAATGAAGACTTTAAATCAATTTCATGCAGCTCCTTCAGCCTGTTGAACATTCAACAGGGAATTGAACACACATTATTATTTTGTGTTTTTTCATTAACACAGCTTGATTAGCTAAACTGAGTTACGGTATTTCAAATAAAAAATTGGTTCATGTTTTTTAGTTCACCTTTTATATACATATATATATTACCTGTGAAGCATTCAGCAGTGTAAACACATAAGCAAAAAGGGGGCTGTGGACAAAGTAGAAATATCCCAAAAGCCAACTCAGTCCAAGGATGCTGGTCAAGGACATGCAGCCCTTCAGAGACAACCTGTATTTGAGTTCATTAAAAAATTGAGATGCAAAGTTTATAAAAAAAAAGATTGCCTATGATAAGAATTCAAATTTTATATTTACAATGTTTGTCTTTTGGCAGTTGCTGTCCTGCTGAGTCCTTCTCTTGCAGATAGTAGTCCTAGAGTCATGAAGACCAAATTGGCCAGCAGAACTGCCAAAACAGGTCCAGCAAAGGCCCAGATGTAGTGTGGTGCCCTGATCCAACAACTGTGACAATAAACATTTCTTGACTAATTTCATGCAACCTTTTTAAATAAATAATGGGTGGGGAGGGGGTTTGGATGCAGAAGTCTTGGTTGTGCCTTGTGAATGCTGAAAAGCGGCAAATAAAGTGTTCTGTTCATTCATTCAAATAAAGTAAAAATCTTGTCACCATCTTATTGATGGTATCAGAAGAATTATTCTTGTAAAACATAATCATAAATAAATTTAAATGACATTACTGTGTGCAGGGACTCACAAAAAAATATATGTTTTTTTATCACAAATTTTGTTGTAACAATTGAGAAAATGAAATGGTTCTCACTATTCTCCCCTGCCATAGGCATGTTCATCCAGGGCCTCAGAGATCCCAATAGTGACCCCAACAGAAATCAAGGGGAATCCGTATCCAAACCCCAAATAAATCCATGGAGACAGGTCCTTTTCTGCCTGCCAAATCTTCACTAGACTGATGTACAAAATGTAGCCCTCCATGAGCATCCAACAAAAGGCTGATTGGAAAAAGTAGTGCAGGACAATGGCAACCCCAGAACATGCATCCTGTCATATAATAAAAAAAAGACTCTGGAGCATTATTAACATGAGGAACTTTTCAAACCATTTAAAAAAGAAAGGTTTGATGTATATACTCACATTCCCAATGAAGAAGAATGTTTTGTCAAATCCTACTGCCATGATGAGGTGTCCAATGAGCAGAGTGATGCTCAGGTGCTTGGTCATGAGAGCTGTTGGTGTTTTGGCTGCACTGAAAAATTTAAAATTACAAGTCAAAATATATACACTGAATGACTAAAGTTGAAAGATAAAAGGATGTGGTTAAACATTTTAAATCAATATTGCCACACAAGGGAAGTATATCCATCAGGATGAACCAACCATTGGATGATGAACTATACTGTAATATGAAAACTTACTCTATGAATTGGAAAACCAAGAAGTTGATGAAAAGGCAAATGATGGACAGTGCACTGATGACATAGCCCATCACTTCTAGTCCAACATTTTTACCCTAAAACAAAGACCACAAGTTCAAAATGTAACACTTGGTGGGATATGGCCATGGTTTGACTTGTGATGGTGACTTACCACATAATCATGGACATCCATTAGGACAGCAAAATTGGTCAAATGCCCACAACTGCAAATGGTTCTGTGTTCTTCAGTGTTTCTCACTGAACAACCATCTTTGGACCATGTGGCACTTGATGAAGAAAGGAATACATATGCAAGTCTTTCACTTATTCTGCCAGAAATTGAGTTAGACCTATAGCTCAGACTTACTTCTGTGTCAAATCCAAGAAAGTGCAAACACTTGTGTCAGGAATAGCAGTTGGTTTTTCCTCAAAGTGTAATTCTCTGAAAATTTTCCTGTAAGGAGGATCTTGAGCAATCAAAAGGTGATCCATTATCAAAGATATTGACTGATAATGGTGTGCTGGGATTATAAAGTCCTGTTCTTGGTCATCCACCAAAAACTTGAATCCAAGTAACTCTGAATTAACTTCCTTCTGTTTCCCTGAACTCCCAAGTCTGGAATAAACTTTTGGTCACTAATATTTTTTTAAATAAAATAAAAATTGTCAATTGTAGGAGAATGTATCACACTTATTCCTAGTCCCAGGGAAGAGAAATTCTTGGGATTGTGAAATGACATATCCAACTGATTGCAGTGTTGTCAGCTTGTTCAAGTTGGCTGGAAACAGGTCTTGGTAGCCAGCAGGGATCTTCAGCCTGGTCCTGCTTGATTTGTCTGGAAAGTAAAATGGCTGCCTGCTGACTTCCTCCTGTTGTAGCTGGTACAAACTCTGCTTTGTGACTCCCAGCAGCACAGACTTGGATTTGACAAGATGTCTACCTTCTGGCAAATCCTGCTTTGATAAAATCTTCCCCACTTTTCCCAAGGTTTCAATCAGGGACTGTGATGCTGATGTTGAGGCAACCTGTTGAAAAAAATAATAAATTAACTCATCAAATTTGCATCAAGTGGTTCTTTTTGAGTGTGTCTTATAATATAATGATGACCTCTGAGAAATTGTATGAATTCCAAGAGTCTTCCAGAGCCAAGATCTCATCCATTGTAGATAGAAAGTGCCCTGCAAATGTGTTGGACATGACAAAAGCCTCAGCAGAATCAGTGATGTTCTCAAGAAGTGTCTGGAATTCCTGGACCACTGGATCCAAAATGGAAACAATATCCTCCAGGCTCTCTTGGGACACATGCTGTCCTTCTCTGGACTCTATGATCTCTGTTAAAGTGTCCAGTTTATCTGAAGGATCACCTGATTATATGAAACAAACCTCTTTTGGTGAGAATGAGTTTCTTTTTCTCATGAAAAGATAATAAGTTACCAGAATCCATGAGGAGTTGTTCCAAGTCATTCAGGTCATTCTGAAAGCATCTTTTCTTCCAAACAGTGCTTCCATTCAGGCAAAGGATGAGTTCATGATGTCCCCAAGTGCCCTCAGGGCATTCAGTTTCCAGGGGTTGGTCACTGATGAAACACAGTGGTCCATCAGGGTTCTGACAATGGAACACTGAGTCCATTGGCACCAAGCATGTCCCTTGGTCACATTGGACATTTGAACTGCTGGTTGATGCTGTGGATAATGTTGAAGAGGTCTCCTGTGAATTTTCAGTCATCAAAAAATCATTTGTGCTGGTCATCATTGCAGAAGTTTCCTGCTGGCCAGAAACTTCAGCAGTGCTGGTTGCTGATGTTGATGTTGGAGCAGAATAAGAGACTTCATCAGGAGTTGAAGGATTATCTGTAAATATTTATGATTGCAGAAGAATTTTTATGCACAATAAAATCATTTTAATTTTGGCAAAGAAACTTGCTGTGAAAACGGCTTTGGCAAATGATGTAAACTGGCTTTTCCTGAGCAACCCATTCCCACACAAATTCCTCAGGATGATTCCCTGATGAAGTTGGCACAGAATTTGCACTGATGGTCTCCAACTTGAGTTTGCCTGATGCTGAGAAATCTTTATATTCAACACACACAAAAAAACAATAGAAACCCTTGAAAAATATTTTGTGCTGTTGGAAATTATTGCAGATACCTTTGAAAGCCAGTGGATGAGCAGCTCCTCTCATGTTGCTCCACTCAGTGGACAGAGTGAAACCAAACAAAGAGTCCAAATAGGCCTGGTCCACATCAGTTCCAGTAATATAGTCATTTGGCCAAGAACAGCCAACAATGTCCCTTTTGTCCACATCAGGTTCATCCACTGGGATGCGACTGCCTGTGCACACTCCATCTGGTGGCAGGTCTGTGAACCTCTCAGGCAGGTACCAACTGACTCCTTGAGTGATTGGTGGATCTATTGCTACTCCTCCTGTCATCACTGGAAGTTTAAATAAAAATAGACACTTTCAAATTGAATATACATTTTGAAGCAAACATTTAGAAATCAATAATATTTGCATGATCTTGAGAAAATTCATACAAAAGCTTTGTACAAGGAATATTCATGAAAAGAGAGACAGAGGCAGGATATCCAATTCTCCAAACTGTGCCTAAATTGTCAAAGATGAAAGTAACTTGAGTTTCTCTGTATATATACATTTCATGAAAAAAAATACTCAAAATGTAGCAACCTGATCCATGAATCTGTGTTTGAGAGTTCATGAGGCTCTTTAACACAGTTGTTGCAGACTCAAAGACCCCTGATGACACCTGGTGAGGCAACAGGTGAAACAATGTTCCATTTTCTGCAATATCTTCACAAATCATCATGGCAATGGAATGAAAATTGGGGGTTGGTGTTGTGGCAATATTTGCTTCCCAATAAGTCCAGAAGAAATTGCTTAGACCTATACACATTTAAAAAACAATTGTAAAAATTGAAGTTACTATTGGGAAATATGGAAAGTTATATACTTGCAGCAAGTGGAGTATTCAATCCCAAAAGACTCATCCTTCCAATTGCAGCAGTTTCTAACAAGGTCTTGCAGTGGAACTGGAACTGTTGGGAAGGTTTCTTGAAAATCTTCTGGGCACTCCAAAATTGGTGTTTTCCCATTTTCTTCAGAATTTCATATAAGGTGTGTAATTTTTATCAAACAAAAACACTCAAATATTAACAGAGAGGAATAATTACATTACCAGCATCAGCATGTGACACCTGGTAAACTGAGAGCAATGTTGAGTCCACATGGCTCCCACAAGGCAGGCTGTTGTCATCATCAGACCAGGAAAGGTTGGCAACTCTGCTCAAAAATGCATTCCCAACTTTGCACCTGGCTGAGCATTTTTCAGTGTCCACAAATCTCAGGGATCCCTCTTTGTTACACATGCAAAGCCACTTGTTTTGAGATCCCTGGCACAAATCTGATCTTGAAGAACATGGCTGCATGGCTGCAAACTCAAACCTTTGACAATGAGAAATTGAGGAATAATTTAATTTTCTATTTGACATGTCTATTTACAATAATGGGAAGTTTTTTTGTGCCCTTCACTCAGAAACAATTTTCATGCAATTTACTGCATAAAGATGTTGAGTTTGGAATTTTTGGGGCTCTCAGCAATTTTTTACTCTATTATTTACTCAATACAATGACCATTTCCTTCACAAATCGTTCATGAAACCTTTCAAAAGGAATGGTTTTCATAAAATCATAAAAATTCAGAGAAAATATGGATTCAAAATTTTTTACCTCATTAATCCAAGCTGAGTCAAAATTTTCTTGGCTTCACAGGTGAATTATTGTGAGGAAAAATTAAATTTCAAACTGTCATCTTTCAAATTAATACTTTTAATTGCACCAAAAATAAAAAAGAATAAAAAGATAGAAGACTCACTTTTCAGTTTTGCACATATTGACACATCTGGAAATGAACATGTTTGGCCATGACCAAGTTGCAGATTCAGAGACTGGGAATTGAGTCCCTTTCAAAGCACATCCTTTGTGCAAAGATGCAAAATCAATCGCTGATTTCTCCCAATTTCCATTTGGCAATTTTTGAGGAATTTCCGTGTCCGCATCAGAAGTCTTGATAATAATTGTCAAAATCACTGCAAAAACCAGCAGTTCTTTCCACTTGAACAGCATCCTGATAATTTTGAATGAATGTTGGAAATGAATTTTTCAAATATACACTCGGATGTTTTGAAATCATCAGTCATCAATCACGGTTAAAAACACAGTTGAGTCTGGATGATGAAAGACATTCAATGGGGGGTGAAAAGGGCAGGAAAATCCAAGTTCAAAGAATTTTTGTCCCATTTGTTGCCTACGCCATCCTCCATTTTAGAGATAAGAGAGAAATGAAAAAGTTTATCAGAAAATTACCCAAAGGAACGTGAAAACTCAATTTCCCGCAACTGAGATAAAGATAAAATTGACGGCAACCTTTTATTCTTTGGAGAAAATGGCTATTTTAAAAATGATCATCCTTATACAATATGAGAATATACTGTATACCAGGAAAAAAGTCTGTACATATAATGTCATAGTTTTTGCAGATGCAATTTTTGTTAAGGTTTTTGTCAAGATATAAAATGTGATGAACCAATTTCTCTGAGGAAAAAAATAAATATTTGAGGGTTTAAAAAATATCTAAAATGCTCAAAAAAATTTGTCATCAAAATTATTCTGTCATTCTTTCTTGTGAGCAGATGATGCTCAAATTAGCTGCATGTTTCCCCTACTTTCTTGTCCAAAATTAAATGCTGCACTGAGTCACTCATCACTGATGGGTTATGCAACTCTTTTTGGAACAGGTCAGATATGGGTCTGACCAGTCTTGCCCGATTTTGGACTGCACAGAATATAAAAAAATCTGCTTTTACTGTATGCATGCTCATTGCTCTCTGTTTGTTGACTAAAGTCAAAGAACCATAAAGTCAACTCTGTCAACCCCCACACAAGGGACCCCCCATGCATAATGGATTTTTGCACAACAAACTGCCTCTGGAGGCATTTTCTCCTCCCATGCAAAATGGACTAAATCCACATGACAGACTTCTGCTGGTTATTTAAAATTGATGGTAGAAATCAAATTTTTTATTTTTTTTTTAAATTGAATTTGTATAACACACTTTTCACACAGCAGACTTAGTCTGTTGCACAAATCAAGTCCATTGTGCAGGGGTGGACTGTATATGCTGTTATTCTATCCTTGTCAAATGAAAGAATAAACACTTAAATTTTGTAAATGTAAGAAACTTGTTGAGGAGTATTCACTTGACAAAATCCAGTAATAAGGAATATAAATATCCTCATTAAATAATTTGTCAGAGCTAAATTAACTGTACAGTACAATTGTAGAGTGTTGAAATATAAAGGCTCAAGTGGTGTCTTAAAATCTTTATATTTTTCAAAGATATATAGTTGAAGTCTGATTTCTAAAAAATGTCCAACCATAAATTCAATAAAGCCATCAAGAATTCAATTGGAAATCCAAAGTGAATATTTATATATATCATGGAAGCTTGACTTTGATAATTACATTCTTGATTTCTTTTGCAAAATTCTGATTTCACAAGGACAAATAGGAAATACAGTAAATGTAACAACATTCAATGCAAATACATCAAGTAAAAATCGAAACAGGAGTCCAAAAAGCAAACAAATTATTCATGCTTGAATATAAATCTTTAAAAATCATAAGGATGGGCCTAACGTTTTATTTTTACAAAGAAACCGAAAAAACCTTAACTGTTTTTGTTATTGTCGCTGAAGTACTTCATGTAATACAGGTGTTCCTTGGGTTTTTAAATTTTTATTTCTTTTAATATAAATATCCACAATCTTTCTGTAGCTTTTGAATCATTTTTTTTCTTCAATGAATAGTTTATTGACACTCTGGTTTTGGATAAATACATTTTTTTGCAACACATCCTGTTTGGCATGTCTAAAATGACTGACTGAATGACTGGCTGATGGTGCATTGGGAAACACATGAGTGTCAAGTGTTTCCATCCTTGTCAGAATCTGTCAATAAGCTTTCCAGAGCTTGACAGATGCACATTGTCAAATCATTCCCAAAACTTTCCTGGATAACTTGAGAGCCTTTTACCTTCTATATTTAAAAATAAGAAAATTTTATCCTCAAATCTAGAGATGGTAAAATTTTTTTATTTTATTTTTTTAAATTAGCAAACTGTCAAAGGAAAAAACCCAAATATTTTTTCTGAGAAAATTCCATCCATCATAATCTGAAACATCTTGAGATTCTTGGACAAGATGGAGACTTCTTGTGAGATTGTGGTTCTTTAGAAAAATATTTTACCCTCTCCACATTTTTAAAATTTAAAACAAAACCCTTCAAACCTTTTAATTTAATATCTCACAATTTCATAACTTTAATAAAAGGAGAGTTTTCTCTTTTTTCATGCAATTGCTTTCATTGAAAAATTCAGAACAGTGTCCAGAAAGTGAAGAACAGTGTCGAAGTTGTCAAACCTAACCTTTCAAATCAATATTTCAAAATTTTGAACTTTATTAAAAGGAAAGTTTTTTCATGTTATGCAAGTGCTTATACAGTATATTAAAAAAAATGAGTGTCCAAGTTGTCAAACTTATCATTGAGGAAAAAATTTAATACAAAGGTAACTTTTATCAATTTTAACCCTTATTGAAAAGAATACTAAACTTAATAAGTTTTAAACTGCAATAAAATATAAGACATTAATAGACTAGTAAGTCCTTTAAAAGTTTTTAATCAAAACTTGGAAACTTAATTTTCTTCTGCATTATGCATAATTTTGAGAAGTATTTTCCGATTCAAGTCTTCAATAACAGAATAGGTTCTTTTTTCTTGAAATTTCAGCTTTGGCTTCAATTAGATTTAATTTCTGCAAAAAAAATTTTTTTTTTCAGAATTATATTTTCAGGGAATCAAATGCTCTTGAAAACGTTCGATGAAATCCTCTCGCTTTTCCGCATCATATGGCATCACTTTCTTAATCAAACATGCGAATGAATAATTCCGATGATACTCTTTTTTTTTATCTAACCCCGCAAATTCATTATGCATCGAATAACGGTTTTCTGTTATCAGGAATCTTGTTTGACCCCGACAATTTGCAGAAAAAAAATCTATGGAATATTTGCTCAGTCTGAGTGTT